AAAATAAAATAAAGAAAGTGAGAAGATGGATACAGGAGGTTGGAGAGATGTGAGTGAAGGGCTGGTGGTCTCTAGAAGCTGACAAAGGAAATAGATTCTTTCCTGAAGACTCCTGAAGGAAACAACCTTGCTGATCATAATTTGAGCCTAGTGAAACCAATTTCATCTTGTTTAAAGTCACTTCAAGTGCGGTAATTTGTTCGAGTAGCAACAAGAACCTAACACACAGGACATCACACAGACCAGAAACACACAGTCCACGATCACAGTTTCTGTCATGTGATGTTTTAACCCGAACCTGCAACTGGGACTGAGGAAGGACCCAAATAGGGCTTGCGTGAAGAGCAGGAGAAAACCTGGCAGCCACGATGGGCTGGTGGAGGTTTTCAGGCTCCTCTGGGCATACGCAGAGGTAAGGGGTCAGGGAAGGGGTCAGGGGTCGTGCCAGTCACCCCGGGAACCCCAGCAGGGTGGGGTGTGAGGGTGGGGAGGGCTGGTCACCTTTGGTGGTCTCGCTGTCCCGGATCATGAAGGAGCCCAGCACATTGCCAGGGGCCAGGAGGTGGCGCTCGGCATCCTTCCGGCTGATGCCCTTGAAGAACCACCTGGTGGAAAGGGGCGGGGCAGCGTGTGAGCCACAGGGGCGTCTGGTGCCAGCTGGCTAGATACCAGAGGCTGGTTTCCCGTGAAATCAATGTTCCTCAAAGATACTTTTGGAGAAAACAACCATTCCTTTGATATTTCTATCATTGAAAGTGAGATTTATTGTGCATAGAATAAGTCAGTTACAGTTTTAGCCAAAGCATCTGAATAGGGGATCTGGTGGTGGCCTCACATATGTTAGTTCACTTGCTGTAAGATAGTATTTGCATGTTTTACTCACCCATAGGCCCGAGGAGGCCCCACCTAGCAAGCAGCCTAACCTCACTACCAGCAGCCTTTTACACAAATCATATCAGAATCAGTGGACATGTGTTGTTTTACCTAATGCAAGTATAGAATGCATTATATATATTTACGAGTATATATGTAACATATATATACATACATATATATATCTCATATATATATATATGTGATATATATGTGGTCTTGTAATTACTCAAAGTCTAGGGCTGAAGAATTTGAGTTCTCTAAGACTCACTGCATGCCCAGCTAAGCATGCTCATCCGGTGTCAGGAGGAAGCACCGTGTCTTTGCCAGCTGCACAGATCGACAGATAGATGCAATGTTTTGTCCCGTAAGCTCCACTCTTTTTGGAGAGGGGGCAAATTTTCCTCCTTGTTCTCTAAAAAGGAAGACTTCAAATTAGGAAGACAAAAGAAATATCCCAAAGGTGCAAATCACTGGTAAAAGAAAAGAGTTCATAGAAGGATAGAGAGAGAGAGAGGAAGGGAAAGACTTTACATGTTTAATCTGTTCTTTAGTTCCACTGCAAATCACAGCATTCTGGTGAAACTGCAACTGGCCATCGGTTTACCAGGTGTTTTACAGGTGTGAATCCAGTATGCTGAAACTGAAATGGATGCATTTTGTGGAACTTTCTTTAAAAGCAGCATGGCATGCCAAGGGTCAAACACCCGGGGGCCGTTCCAGCCTCACCCAAAGTGGACAGAAACAGGGAGTAGAAACATACAGCACTTGCAACCAATTGTGGTCAAAATCTTACTTTTGAGAACTTCACAAGAAGACACACTCAGGACCTGGGAGCCCCTGGGCTCCATTAACTTCAGAGACTCCTATAAAGCTGGCAGAATTTCTGAGCTAACACTTGAAATTTCAGATAATGTTATACTCGGATCTATAGCCTTGGGCCTCTTCTTTCTCCCTGAGTATCTGGCCTGGTGGCAAGCAGCAGCCACCAAATCCATTCCCACCCTTCCTAGAGTAAGGAGGACTTCATGTGCTGTGACAGGAAAAAGCCCAGAACAGAAGTCAGCAGGCCTTAAAGCTGCTGTGTGACTTTGAGCAAGTCACTTTCCCTCTCTGAGCATCTGCTCCTCTGATATCAACTGAGGATAAAGACAACTAATAATCAGGGAGTTCTTATCATCTATTCAACAACCATAGTGTTGTCCTCTTTACCCCATTTGATCATGAAGAAACCGAGGGTCAGAGAGTAACTAACTTGCCTGGTGTCCTAGGTGGGAAGGGGAAGTGGCGGATTCAAATCCATCTACCCTAGAGCCCAAGTTCTTCACCATGTCCCCCTGCCTCACTGCAATTCATTCTGTGGCTGTTGCACGGGAAAGTATCTCGCAAGGTTAGAGGCCACAAAGTAAGAACCACGTTGCTGGCACTTCCCACAGACCTAGCAGGAGGACATGACACATACACACGAGGGGACTCACTGCAGCTGGAGACTGGAAGCAACTACCTAAGCCACGAGCGATACCTGGGATTCTACATGACATTTAGCTGCCATTCCGCAGCTAAAAAGGAAGAAGGATGCTCTAGGCGCTGCCTAGATCTGGACAAAAGGCACAGGACAGTGTAAACAATGGGAAGAGCATGTACTTTGTTATAGGATTATAAAGCATTCGGGAGGACTCACAAGAAAGGGAGGCACTTGCTTCTGGGAGGGGAGCATCTGGTGGGAGGAAGACTTTGCCCTCTTTATCCTGTATCGGCATCGTTTACATTTTAAAGACTTGAAAGTATTGTCTATTTCAAGGCAGGAGAGGAAGTTAGATTCCATCCCCAAGGATCCTGTGTCCTCCCCCCCCCCAGGTGCCCTCTGTTACTAGACAAGTCCTGCCTCATGCCCCATGTGCTCCCGTCCTAAATGGTGGGGCAACAACTGGCACTTGACAACCAAAGAAACAAGATCATTTTTGCTAGTGAGAGGTTTTCAGAAGGGTTGCCCTATGTGATTCTATTGAGTGAGAAAAAGTGAGAGGGGGTCCACTGCCCATCAAACAAATAGCCCCAGAAAGAATGTACCAGTAAGGGAGACAGTGAGTGCAAAGGCCCTGAGGCTGGAACAAGGCTGGTTTTGCTCATGCTGCCTTCTGGGAGGCAAGAAAATGGAATACTTACTCTTCTGTCTCCAGAGAGTTAACACGTGCGACATAGTTGCTTGGGATGTAACCCTCTTTCCGCGTGGCCAGGGACTGAGCCTTCCACCATTCCCCAGACCTGAGGATAAGAGGGAGCAAAAGGGGGAGGGGCAGGAGTCCCCTCATTATCCGTAGCCACCCCCCTCTCAGCAATGACTCTGAATACAGCCCAATCCCAGGAAGCCAGTAGGGTGAGCCTCAGGGACACAGCTGTACCGGCTCCAGCACGCACCCCATGACTAGGCAGAGATCTTAACAACAGTCTCTACTGTGAGTCAGAGGTGCTAGAATCAGGCCCCGACTCTGCGTTGAGAGCCCACAGCCCTAGGTCTTTGGCTCATTCCTCGGCCCTGGATGTGGCCTTAGTAGCCCAAGGTGGGGCCCTGTGCCCACAGCAGACCCACAGTGATTCAGCTGGGGCCAGAGTCAGAAAGAGGGGGCTCAGAGTCGGACCGAGCATAACCACTGCCATTCTTGGGCCCCAGCACATCCTGGACACCACACTGTAGGAGGTTGGAGATGAAGCTCAGGGCTCAGATCTCCAAAGATTTGGGGTATGAAGACACCTCTATAGGTTCTGGTGCACAGGAAAGCCTGTAGCTTAGTCACCAGAGCCCAAGAAGGCTTCCCTGGAAACACTTTCACCCCTGCATCCTGCCTGGCCATGCACCATCGTAAGTGTCCAGGCCCCATCATTACAGTTTCATCCAGGTTAACGGCAGCCCTCCCTCCCCTGGGTCAGGTTCTGCCCTAGCCTTAGACAGTCAGTCTATCAGGCCCTTTACTGGAGCACAAAAGAGGATATATTTAGAGAATAAGGTAGGGTTCCTAAAGGGGAGTGGGGGACTCACTCCTCCAGGACCACCATCTGGTCCCCCTTCTGGAAACTGAGATCTTCACGGTGAATAGCTTCATAATCGTATAGGGCGACCACGATGTCCTCAGAGCCTGGGGGGAAAGAGACGCGTGGGAGGGAGCGGCCTCACCTGCGTACACCTGTGGCACTGGGTGTGCCCCATCCCAGCACCCAGCCCAGATGTGCTGATGTGTCTGTAGCATCTGGCCACGCTGGCTGCCGTCCTAGTACTAAAAGCTAATGGTGTTTTATTCATATCACCAGATGGTGTTCCAGAAACACAATAACCTGCAATGAAGTACTCTGTGGGGATTTTCAAAGGCAGTTTTGACTTTCTGGGATTTTTACCGCAAACTCTGACTGAGAACCTAACCAGAACTCCACTGCGCATGTGTGCCAGGTACTTACCCTCCATGGACCCTGGTGAGCTGCCATTACTATTGGGCCCCTGTGGGGGAGAAATGGAGAAGGGCATGAATCTGACAGTGTGTGGCACCTCAAAAGGTCTGTGCTGAATGGATACCCAGGAGCATTTCATCATAGCCCTGGTGTCATGGGAAGAGGCCCGGAGAAGGTGGGGGGTGTGCCTGAGGTCACACACACACTGCGGGGGTAGCCAGCCCAAGGATTCAGGTCTCGAGTTCTGGGCTCTGCTCTCAGCCTTGGATAGAACAGGGAACACTGGACTGTCCTCCTTGATACAGTGAGGGGGTTGGGCCACCTCTGGGTTTTCCACGGTATGTTTGAAGAAACTCTGAATCTACCAACATGTCCCGTTAGTATGTGAAAGAGCTGACATGTCCATCTAAAGGGGAAATGACACCTAAAAAAGGCACCCCAAACAGTTCTTACATGAGAGAGGACATGCTTCATTCCTGACACCAGACTTCAAAGACATATTGTTGAGTGAACAAAGCTATTTCCTCAGTATTATCGGTTTAATACAGTCAATTACTCAGCAATCAAAGAAGGTAAACTTGTGCCATTCACAGCAAGAAGGATGGAACTGGAAGGGATCGTGCTCAGTGAAATAAGCCTGAAAGAAAAAATACTCATGGTTTCACTGAGAGGAGAAGTGTAGAGGAAACAAATAAAGGATCAGGGGAAAAGTAATTATAATAGATTAAAAATCAAAATCAACAGGCAACTATATATCAGAGACATTCTGCAGGAGGAAGACAGAGGAGGAGGGTCAAAACAGGGGAGGGAAGAGCACAGGGATTGTGGCGATGGTACTCAGGTGACTTGGTGGGAATTTCAGGGGACCACACCTGAGAGGAGGAAGCATACATTACACAAAAATTAAAAATGATGTAAAATGTATATTTTTTTAAAAAATTAAATCCTGAGAAACAAAAAAATTAAGTTGAATAATAAATGTACCCAGTGAAGAAATTTCCTTGAAAAAGAAATAAAACATTGTATCATTTTTGTTAAAAAATACATACATGCATATAAAATGCATATACACCTCCCAAATACCTTCTGTGGACATACCCTAAGTGTTAGTGTAAATTTATGGGAAAGGTTTGCAAGAGTCCACACTGAACTGATGACAGCTGGCACCTCTGGGATGGGAACACCAACCAGAAGTAGCTGTATCTTGCCCTGTAATTTGTGGTTATTTTCAAGGAAAATCATATACATCAGTGAAACACTAATTTAAAGAAATGGGTTTGGGAAACTCTGAGAAGTACATCATTTTGGGGAGAGTCACAGAATCCATGACAAAGATTCATAAAGGGCTCCTACAGGAAAGTTGCTTAGTGTTTCGCAAATGAATTTGACTTGGGAACTCTTTCTCTGAGGAACCTAATGATTTAATGCAGAACTAATATCCTATAGGAGGGAACAATGATAACTGATAGTGATATCCCTTAAACCTGGTGAACAAAACTCTTAACCTCCATCTGGTGAGAAGTTAGAGAGATTCAGAGGACGTGAGAACCTGGAGCCCTGGCCATGGAAAGGGTCCAGGGTCATGCAGATCAAGGAAGAGGCAGACCTGGGCATGATTTAGGGTGTAAGAGATTAGCTCGGTTACCAATGTGAATAATTCATGTAATCTCAGGTTGTATTAATAGAGGTCAAGTGTCAGAGAGAGGGAGGTGACTTTTTCCCCATTTCTAGAGTTAGTCCTGCTCTAGGCATCATGTCTGGAGAAAGACAAGCAAGATGGAGAAAGGTCAGGAATCCATATCCTGTGAAAAATGATTTGAAGGAATGGGTGTGTTGGGACAAGATCTTTGTCTTCAGTCTCTCCAGGCTGTCACGGGCCACAGAGAGTAGATGTTAGAAGCAAGGCTCAGGGGTAGGTTTAGGATTAAGGAGTTAGGGGAAGGAGTGTACCCCAGCTCTCTAGGCAAGAAGAAGCTCTGCTTCCCTAGAGAACCTCACATAAGGGAATAGACTCCAGGACCACAGGGTATAAAGAACCCCAACCTTGGATTTAGAAACACCTGATTCTCCCACATCCCAGCTGTGTGACCCCCAGAAGCCATGGACCCTCTTTGAGCCTTAGCCGACTCTGCTATAAAGTGGTGTGACTCCTGGCTCGCAGCTTCTGGCGAGGATTAATGATGTGGAAGTCCTCGATTTGGTGCCTACGACATAGCAGGTGTTTGACAAATGGTCAGGATGATTATGACTGTTACTGCTGCTCTGAGTTCTGTCACTGCCATTGCTCAAACTGTCACTGTTGACCCCCTGGTGCTGTTCGGTGACGCCAAGCTGCTGCAATAACTGTGACCAGCGGTGCTGGGGGGCTGCAAGCTGCCATTACTTGTGCCACTGTCACCTCCGCACTCACTGCTCATGTCATTAGCAAGCGGCTTCTTCCTGTTCCTGTTCTTTCCAGCAGCATTTGGAACCTGCACTGCCCATGTCTGAATCCGGCACTCCCACTTACTAACCAAGTAGTTTTGGGAGAGTTATTTGATCTTTGTGCCCTACAATAGGATTCTTAGGAGGATGAAAGGCACTTGTGACTGCAAAGTGCTTAATGTTGTGCTTGGGTCGTCATCAGCTCTAGGTAAGCACAAATGAGTAAAAACATCTACCAGTCTCGCCACTGCTCGGCTACTGCTTCTATTGGTCCTGCAGCTGATGCCTTGACTCCCACTGGTGTCACTGCTCCAGTATGACGACAGCTGTTCTCACAGTCGTTGCCAGGAGATGGACACCGCTGCCCTCTGCACTGGCCTGGTCACTCACTGCTCTCAGCATTGCTTGTGCCACTGTGGAGGCCTGAGGCTGCCAGGCTCTCTCCTACCCAGTCACTAGAGCCCAGGCTGATGGGCCAAGGCTTGGGGGCAGGTAAGAAGTGAGGTCCTTGCCTTGGGGCCTGGGTGCAGATGTATTCTGGAGAGTTAGGGTACTGTGGGTAGCTGCTCAGAATCATCTCACCCAAACACACCCTGTTCATCCTTGGGAAACCAGGAGGAGGTTAGGGCAGCCCCCGGCCCCCAACCCAGCTGTCAGTGCCCCATGTTCCCCCACTCACCCGCTTGCCGGACGACGTGGGATCGGGCACGTACAAGGGGCTGTGTGAGCTGGCAATGGGCTGCATTTTTGGGGATTTGCCTCTGTCCGGCAGGAACTTGGACTTCACACACCCCATCCTGCTGCAGAGAGAAGGGAGGTGAGGCCAGAAGCCCTGAGCTCCACACAGGGGAGTCTGGGAGGCTGGGTCTCAGGGCCCGGCCCAGGCCGACTCCCGCCAGCCCCAGTCACCCCATCCTGGCCACTCAGAGCTCACTCTGCCCTTGCACTTCTGGCTCCCTCATAGCCAGGTCTGTCACGCTCACACAGCCGCACGTTTCACAGTCAAGCAACTGGGGCCCTGTGAAGGGGGGGTTTACTCAGACAGTAAGTCACAAGGGTAATCGAAGCTCACCACGGCGAGCTGGAGCACCGAAGGGGGTGGTGAGTGCCACTGGTTTCTGGTCAGGAGTCCTGAGTCAATATTTGGCACCTCCCAGTACCCGACTTGTACACTTATGCCCCCCCACTTCAGTTCCTTACCAGCAATATGGGGATAATAATAAAACCGGGCCCTCCCTGATGGCGCAGCGGGTTAATGCACAGCACTGACAATCTAAAGCCGCTTCCGCATGAGTTCGATTCCCGCCTGCCCCGGAGGTGACCACATGGCATGGCAGACCTCTCCTGACCCGCCCGCTGCTCCCCTCAGCAGTGTACTTCATCGATCTGCCTGTTCTGCTCCCCACTCTGTCTCTGGTGAATCCTCTCACCCTCCGCATCTCTGGCCTGTACCCCAGTTCTGTATGAATAAATAAATAAATCTTTAAAAAAAAAATTAAAAAAATAATAAAACCGACTAGCAGGGCATTGGAAAGAGGAGGAAGCATGTGTGGTGGCAAATACTCTGCGTGGTGTCAGGCTCAGGCAGGTAGTAAAGTGAAATCATACTGTTGCACTTGCTAAATTACCACTTTATATTAAATGACAGAAATGAGATCGAATAACAATCTAGCTAAGTAATAGTCAAGACATCATATCCTTTGTACCAATTTAAAATTGCCTTATAACAACTTCTTCCTCTCTCTCATGGAATTGTTTGGCCACCACTCATTCACTTACTGAACATTTTTCATTTTTTAAAAAGACTTATTTCTTTATGCTTACAAGAAATGAGGCATAGACAAGAAGTCAGGGATAAAAGGGCTCTCCAGAGACAGAATGGGGAGTAGAACAGGCAGATCTACTGAAACACTCTGCTGAGGGGAGCAGCAGGTGAGACAGGAGAGGTCTGCTGCGCCATGTGGGTCACCACCCTGGTGGGGGATCGAACTCGTGAACTCATGTTGCCGTGACTGGTGATAGTTTGATTGCACTGAGACTCCAACCCCTGTGCCACGAGGAAGGCCCCTACTGAACATTTTTCTAAACCACAAATAAGACAAGTTTATGTCTTCATGGAGCTCACACTGGATAAGAATTGCCACAGACAATAAACAAGTTAAATTTAGTTAGTGAGAAGTATGGGGACAATGAAAGAGAATGTGATGGGGAACAACTACCGTGGGTCTCTTTAGATGGTGCTAAGGAAGGCCCCTGCGATGATGCTGATCTGGGGCCTGAATGACACAAAGGAGAAAGCCAAGTAACACTCTGAGGGAACAGTGTTCCAGGCAGTGGGAACGGCAAGTGCAAAGGTCCTGAGGTTGGAATGTGCTTGGAGAGAACAAGACTCTGAAAGGCAACCAGCTTGACTGGAGATCATAAGCAAAGGTAAGGATGGTATGTGACAAAGCTGCCACACTCTTGTGAGGAATCTGGATTTGATTCTAGAGGTGACGGGAAATCATGGAAAGTTCCAGGCAGGAGAATGACAGGATCCAGTGGGCACTTTAAGCAATTCCACTGACTTCTCTATGGGTGGCCTGCAGTGAGAAGGGCAGGGAGCAACATCCACAGCAGTGTCCAGGCCTGAGCAGATGGTGGTCTGGTCCCCGAGGTGGTGGCTGCTGAGGAAGTAAGAGGTGAATGACTCGAGGGATAGGTTGGAGGTAGAACTGACAGACTTTGCTGATGGATTAGTAAAATTTAAAAGACACTTAAAGAAAACATGCTTATCTAACTAGAGTCAAAACTTAATTATGAAAGCAGAAGAAATGTCTCATTTGTTTCTCAAAATGCATACACGTATTTGCGGAGAACAGGCTGGGCCCAGTCACATAAGGAAGTGTTTTCCTCAGGCATAATTACCATTTTCATCTAAAAGCAGTTAGAACTCAGTTACGCATATCTTGGTACCATAAGCATCTGTTTGTGGTTTAAGAACAAAACCATGAATTCCTAGGTTTAGGGGAGTGATTTTTAAAAAGTGCTTATTTTGATTTATTAGGATATTTTTGTCTGTCCTGGTGGGAACTGGAAACAATTTACCACCTCAAGCCTTAAGCAGTTTCTTCAAATGAAGTTTCTACTTCATTTGCCTTTTGTGAATAAAGTTAGAACTGATTCAGACCCTGGAGTGCTGAATTATTAATTTGAAAAATTATCGCAATTAATTACTGCTTTATAATGTACTTGTGTGCATTTAAAATAGAAACTAACACTTTCATTTGATTTGAGATAAATGCGTATTACCCTTCTGGGAAATAAAGGCATCTGGGGTGGTTTTGCATGGCATAAAATTGTATTACATTTCATAGATTTTTGGCAACATTGGGGTATCCTGAGAAGGCCACTGCTGTGTGATGTGACGGAGCTCAGCCACCTCTCTGAGCCTTTATTATTACTTCCTTTATCAACTTCCATATTCAAGACAGTCTCAGGGCCCCAGGGATGGTCTCTGAAAGCCTGTTCACTCAGGGTGCTAGGAAATCTGAGAAAGCATTCAAGGTTCAACAGCTTGGGTGGTGCTAAGAATGGCGTTGCAGTGTAAGGTGCTCACAGGGCGTGTGCTCCAGAAATATTAAGCACTACCATTTCTGTTTACTAGCACTCGTGGCACTTCCCTGGAGCATAAAGAAGGACAGACACTTAGCAACCTGCTAGGTTTAAAAGTGTAGAGATACTGTAACACTTGATAAGCTAACTTTTTAAAATAGGGAATTCCCAGGAGTTCAATTTTTGCAAAATAAAGTGAATTTTTTTTTCTAAAAAGTGATATACCAGCAGGAGTCAAATGTGCACAAAATGTGTTTGTTCCTCTAAACCAAGAATACCAGTCTGCTGCCTGCTGTGGAGTCAACCTCAGAAAATGCTCATTTTTATGACTACTAGATCTAGAAATGTAATGGGAGTAGTCACACGGTAATTTAAAATTTCCTACAGTCATATTTTGAAAGTGAAAATGGAAATTTTAGGGTATTTTTCTTTATCCCAATATGTCAAAATTATTAACACATAGTCTACACATTATCATGAAATACTTTAACTCTTTTCTTCATACTAAGTCTTCAAACCCTACATGGAAACATTAGAAAGTGAGCACTTTTTTCTAGAAGGATCGTTATACAGATGTAGATGAAGGGAGCTGGAGCCATCCTGAAGTCACAAAAGACGGGGGTGCCGTACAGTGACGCCACCCCAGCGGAAGGAAGGGCAAGCAGTGGAGACGGTCTGTGTGCTTGGGACTGGCTGTGTCTTTTGCTTTCCAGCATCAGAATTTTTCTAGCTTCGGAGAAGATACATTCTCAATTTTGCTTCAGCCAGTTTGAGTGTATTTCTGGGCATTTATTATTACTTTCCCTATCAATTTACGTATTCAAGACACTCACACGGCCCTGTATTTCTGAAATTGGGTGCTCCTGGCACCCAATTGACTACCCAAACCAGGGTCTGAGTCTGCTGTACACCTAGGCTACAGGGCTGGTTCTCAGGACCACTGTGGTGTCTGTGGTCGGCGACTGACATACATGTGGCTAAGCACTGCCTGACTGTTGTTCTTGCTGATGCTTGTGTATTCCTGGACCACACTGAACAAACCAGTTTCTGGGGCTGAGCGCCTGGAATATGCATTTCTAACAATTCTTCGGGAGATTCTTAGAGAACAGGAAAGTTTGTGGCCCACAAGGTAGGGAGACGAGGGCCCAACTTGGAGTCATGATACTCAGTTCTGGAACCTGTTTCTGCCACTGATCAACTACGTGACCTTGGGTGAGTCACTTTCCCTCTTTTGAGTCTTATTTTCTTCCGTATTAAACAAGAGGCACTTGCTTCTCAGGTGTGGCCTGAGGTCCCATGCGACAGGATGTGAAAGGCTTTTGAGAAACTGAACACACACATCTACTTATTTAATGTAGTTCAAAATTAGGTTGTGAGAACAGAAGTGGCCTACCAGGCCTCAGGCTAGTTTAAAACTACCTATCCATGTCAGATACTTCCTCAGGTCACTGCTGAACTCCTGGAACCTGAAACTTACTCCTTGACCCCTGAGCTTCTGCAGGCTTTGCATTAGGGAAGGAAGTGAGAATGTCTGCCTGGCCACTTCCCATGGCCCCCAGGCTGTGCAGAAACAACTCCTGCACCCTCAGAGCGAGGCCCAAGGAGCAGAGGCCAGGGCCCCACCAGAGATGGCTTCCTGGGAGCTTGTAGGCTTAAGATGAGGCCTGTGAGGGGGAGGGGTATGGAGCCCTGGATCTATTCACACCTCTGCCACAAGTTTGTTGTGCAACTTCAGGCATGTCACAGCCTCTCTCAGGCCCCCAGTTTCTCCAGGTGTGAAGTGAGATGTTGAGTGATAAGTTCTCTAAAGGGCACAGTTGGAATTCTTTCTGGTGTAGCATCTTCCCCTTCTTTTGACAACAGCTTCCCGATTTTTCTTTATAAATCACCTCTCCCCCATTCTCAATTCATGGGTCAAGGTGGACTAGACTTCAACTCCTGGCTATTAGGGTGGGTCTCTAACTAAGTCAAGGCAATCAGAGTTCGAGTAATAGAAGCAGATTCAGGCCAATAGGTGGCCAATACGTGTCAGTACAAATAGTTCCATATGGCTGGAAAAGAGGCTCAAAGTTGTGGAGCAGAGTAAGAAATGCAGAAAGAGACTTCCAAGTTTTGATTCCAGCCCTGACAGAAGCTGATGTGCTAGGGGACGCTTCTTCTGTTTGAGCCAGTTTAAGTTGGATTTCTGTCCCATTAAGACTGTCCA